GGGAGTGGGAGAGGGAGAAGCAGGCTTCCCACAGAGCAGGGAGCCCGATGCGGGGCTTGATCCCAGGACCCTGGGATCATGACCTGAGCCAAAGGCAGACGCTCAATGACTGAGCCACCCAGGCGTCCCGATGAAAGACATTCTTAAATTCTAGAGTTGATATTTTAACCTCTTTCATTAACAAAGACATTGAAACACTTTATCTTCAACATGCCCCCTCTGTTCTTTGTATATATTTTATTGAATGCTTTTTTTCTTTTTCTAAGAAAAGATTTTATTTGAGAGGGAGGAAGAGGGAGAGAACATCTGAAGCCGAGTCCCTGCTGAGCATGGAGCCCAGTGCTTGGCTCGGTCCCTCGACCCTGAGATCATGAACTGAGCCGAAACCAAGTTGGACGCTCAACCGACTGAGGCACCCAGATGCCCTTTTCTTTTTTTGGTTTTTACCCCAAAAATTGGATGCTAATGTATACCACCAAGGAATACATCTCTAAAGAATATAGTTTCCCTTTGTCTGTATTTGAGCTTCTTACAAATGGAATCACATATTAAGAATAATTTGTTACCACTTTCTTTGCCCAAAGCTATGTTTTTGAAACTGATGCATGTCATTTTGTGTAGCTGTGCTTTGTTCATTTTCATTGTTGCCTGGCACTCTGTGATGTAAATATATGACAGTTGATCAACTGTGCTGTAGGTGGACCGTTGACCGTTTCCAGGGTTGCTGATTAACATTCTTGTCCACATATCGTAGTGCAAATGTGCATGAGTTTCTTTGGTGTATATCCCTAACAGGGATATTAGAGATGCTTATGTTACTAAATAATGCCAAACTGTACCAATGTATACTCCCACTAGTCAGTAGGAGAGTTCCTGTTCCAAAGCCCTGTTAACCATAATCTAATTTTGCCAGATTTTTCTCTTGTTTATGGTAGCTTTGTAATGGAAAACAACACCTTAATCCTACCTTAATCTCACCTTCCTGCATGCCATCTTCCCAAAGAGTTAAGAAAGTCTTCCCCTGGTGCGCCTGGGTGGCTCAGTCGGTTAAGCGTCTGCCTTCGGCTCGGGTCATGGTCCGGGGGTCCTGGGATCGAGCCCCACATCGGGCTCCCTGCTCGGCGGGAAGCCTGCTTCTCCCTCTCCCACTCCCCCTGCTTGTGTTCCCTCTCTCGCTATGTCTCTCTCTGTCAAATAAATAAATAAAAATCTTAAAAAAAAAAAATAGTTTTCCCCTAAAAAGTTTGCCCCTTCCATTGCATAGCTCATAACTGTTTGACTTGGTTGTACAGAAATATTTGTCTGAGTATATGGATACCAAAGATAGAATGTGCCTGTATTAGCAAAACTCTGGATCCTTCCATTACTGCTTTACAGGCTGGCCAGATTTAGCTGGAATTCTTGTCTCTCTCATGACTTTGCTTAAAGCAGTCAAAAAATCGTCAACATAAGCCATCATTCTGGATCTTTCCTACCATTTCCCTAATGCTACAGATTTGGTCAAATTATAGTCTACCGTCCAAAGTAATGCAGGCCTCGAAACCTGACCAAACATTCTACCACCATGTAATTTGAGGTACCAGCTTCTCAGCCTATGCCCAGCTATAGAAGTCAGGGGAGCTACTACTATGGAAGAAGGGAGGATGGACATTGGTGGACCACCAGCACTGGGTCACAGCTTCCACCAGCATCACTTTTTCCCCCCTTATTAACTTTATTTTTGTTTTCTGGAAATGTCCTTATATTGTCCTAGTTCTTGGATAAGAGAGCTGGGTTGACCGTTTTTCTCCATCAACTGTCTTCGGTCACTCTTAATGGGGAATAATCAGGTGTTCTTTTTCTCCTTGGCTGCTTTCAAGAACACTTGTTTTTGGTGTTTCCTTGATTCCTCAACAATGTAAAGGATAGGTTTTTAAAAATTGATCCTACTTGGGGCACCTGTGTGACTCAGTCAGCTAAACATCTGCCTTCAGCTCAGGTCATGATCCCAGGGTCCTCATCAGGCTCCCTCCCTGGTGGGGAGCCTGCTTCTCCCTCTCCCTCTGCTGCTCCCCTGCTTGTGCTCTGTCAAATAAATAAATAAATGTTTAAAAAAGAATTGATCCTACTTGGTACACAGTGGGATTCCTGAATTTGTGGATTCGTGAGAATTTCAGAAAGTTTTCAGCCTTTTCTCTTTGACACTGACTGTCCTCATTCTCTCTCTCCTGCTGCAATTCCCAACTAGATGTTTGACTTTCTCATTTTACCCTCTGTGTATCTTAACTTCTCTTTCTGATTTTCTGTCCCTCTCTGTTCTCCTTGTAATTTTTTCATGTTTTTCTAACTTTTCTCCAAACTTCTCTCCAACAGTGTCTTATTGTTAAATCTGTCCATTATATTTTAAATTGTGATATTTCTTCATTTCTAAATTGCAGAGGATTAATAGACATTGTTTTGAAACACCAGTTTACTTAACACAATTATATCTATATGAAATTATATACACTAATACAAAAAAAAATCCTCTATAAGGGATTTTGAAACAAATGTCAAACCAGCCCATTCATTCCCTCAGGCTTGAAAGCCTCTGAGGCCCCGAGAAGAGTCCTATGTATGGATAGCCATGATGGTCTGGAGGACTACTTTTAGCTTAAAGCTGTAACTTTCTCTTGCAAATCATAAATGGAAGACACCTTTGGGTTGGGATAGGGTATTGGATAGAAGGAAATGCAGAGGTCAGTGGCTGAGGAGGTAGTAGAAGGACTTTTGGTGGGGACATGATGGTGGGCACTTCTGGCAATGTTGGGTGCTCTTCATACCAGTGTGAACTGAGCCAACCACCCATGGAGAGGGGAGAGTGCTCCTTGGGACATTGTCTTCCAGTGAGGGTACAACAGGGGGCAGAACCGGGGGTAGATGTCTATGCAGTTAGAGATTATTTTCCTGGTTTCCAACTCATTTCCAGAATATCTAATATCCAGAAATATCTAAAGGAAAAGGGAGGGAAAAAATTTAGGTGATTTTTCTGTGGGGCAGACAGGGGAGATCTACACCTTTCACACAGCATGGGCTCCAAGAGACTCCAGGGCCTATGGTAAAGGCCCCCAGCTCCCCCTGAGGGTAGACCTCTCTCAGCTCCTACTTGGTGAGACTGGGCTGAGACTCCTCCTTCCAGAAGGGTTTGTTTCTTCACTCTCTTGATTCTCCCCAATAATACTTTCCATTTGCTTCTTTCTATAGCTTAATGCCTATGATTCTGTTTTAGATATCTTCTCCATGTTCCCATCATCCTCACTTCTGTTGCCATAGAAAACGGTTTCCTTGTTAACTAATTACTTGCCTCCCCAATCAAAATATAGGTCACAAGGTCAAAGCTTTGTTTTCATTCACTAACTCTATCCCCAGTGCTTAGAATGTTTGGCCTAGAGTATGTCCTTAATAAATATGTTGAATGTTGAATTCTTATTTTACTTGAGATTCTTTGCAGAGATAAAATTGGGTAATTCTTGGGTTATTCCTAAGTGAACCCTGCTGCACTTAGCACCAGAAGTATGACAGGTTCTGCTCTACTGAATGACTACAATGTGTGGCATGTAGGTTTGGAGCAGGCTTTTCATGGATGGAATTTAATAAGGTCATTCTTGCCTTGCACAAAAGGTCTGGATTGCTCAGGCAGAGTCAGAAGCCCCATGGCAATAGTGACATTTACCATTTACCATTGGATATCTGTTACTTAGAATATGGATTAAGCTGTTACAACAGGACTCCTAATAGTGGCTTCTTAAAGAGTACAATTTAAAATATCTTGAGTGTCTAGGAATAAATTTACCAAAAGATGTGCAAAACCTCTTCGGGAAAAATTATAAAATTTCACTGAGGGAAGGACATAAAATGAGAAACTGGCAAGATATATAGGTTGTTCATGGACTGAAAAACTCAATGTCAGTCAATACTGCTCTAAATTATAGAATCAATACAATCCCAACTGGATTTATAGTGGAACTGTACTGATTAAAAAATGTATATAACAGGGCGCCTGGGTGGCTCAGTTGGTTAAGCGACTGCCTTCGGCTCAGGTCATGATCCTGGAGTGCCGGGATCGAGTCCCACATCGGGCTCCCTGCTCGGCAGGGAGTCTGCTTCTCCCTCTGACCCTCCCCCCTTTCATGTGCTCTCTCTCATTCTCTCTGTCTCAAATAAATAAAATCTTAAAAAAAAAATAAAATAAAAATAAAAAATGTATATAACAATGCAAAATGATCAAGAAGAGGAAGGGAGGATTGCCGTCCCTATTGCCATGATAGGTTATAAAATTCTAGTAAAGAGGAAGAACAGTGTGGCATTGGCCCAGGGACTGACTCCTAGAGCAGTGGTAGAATAAGAGAGGTCAGGATCAGACCTTGCATCGACAGCCCCTAGATTTTGAAAGGCAGCAGTTCTGAGCAGTGAAGAAAGGATGGTGTTTTCACTACAAGGTACTGAGGGTTGTGGTTGTGTTTTCATAGGATTTTGTATACTATTGTGAAACCATCTGACATTATCTGGTGAAGTTAGAGTAGAAGGCCACAGTGGGGAAATTTTGGTGCACCAGGATCCATCAAAAATATTCAAAGTAGTTCTGTTGATAATGGTCAGAACGTGGAAACAACCCAAATGGCCACTGCAGGATATTGATATCATCGATGATTCTGTAGGAACATGGCAACTGGATTGAAAAGCACAAAAATAACACTGAAGGCAAGAAGTAAATCACACAAGGTGCGCCTGGGTGGCTCAGTCAGTTAAGCATCCAACCCTTGATTTTGGCTCAGATCATGACTCAGGGTTGTGAGGTTGATTCTCTCTCTCTCCCTCTGCCCTACCCCCCCCAAAAATTAAAAATTAAAAAAAGAAGCCAATGACACAAGAAAATATGCTAGGAATACATTTATAGGAAACTCAGAAACAGGGAAACTAAACAATTCTTGATTGAAAGGGCACTTAGGTAAATCAAGTGAACCAAGGGATTGCAGGAGAGGAACCCTGTGACTACAGGGGCAAGCAAGGAATAGGAGGCTCACTTGACAACCTTCTCAGGTCCTGGTACCTTTCTATTTCAAAACCCATGTAATGATTACAGAGGCTTTCATTTGATTCTTATTTTTCTAGAATATACAAATATATCTTTTGTAGTCATCTGCATACATGATGCATTTTACAATTAAAAATTCTTTTTAAGTTATGCACTAACAAAAGACAATGTGATACATAGAATGAGTGTTTGCTACATGCCAGGATCCAGGCTAATTGCTGTGCATAACAATCTCTGAATCACAACCCCATGATTATCCCCATGCTGGGGCCACTTGGGCCACTGGAAGACATCTCTTGCCCAGAGCCACACACGAGAAGGAGCTAGGCAGGGCTTGCTTTCAACATCTCAGGCATAGCTGATTCCCAAGTCTGCTCTGCTATCTGCCTCACTCATAGCACATGATGTCCAGGGTAATGCAACAGCCAGAATCCTTTCACAGGTCACTGGGTGAGGGTGTCCTTGGTGCGGGGCCATGGCCCAGACCAGACCAGTCTCACCCACCCCCTCACCAGAAGACCTCAGCCCAAGCCAACCTTGGGGACTGTAGCATGTCCCTGAAACACCGTGTGAGATTAAGGCTTTGACATAGGGGAGCAGACTGTTAACACCCTAGGGAAGTTTTAGAGCAGGTGATGCAGCTGCCTGTTAAGTGAGCCCTGTGCTGCCGAATAATGTGCAAGAGTGGGCACCTCAAGCCTTGTTGGGAGCCTGAGGCTCGCCAAATGGAATTTAACCCTCCAGCTCTTTCTTAAATGCTTTGTAAATCTCTAAGTATTTTTTTTCAAAGATTTTATCAGAGAGGGAAAGAGGGAGAGAGAGAGGGAGGGAGAGAGCACTCAAGGGGGTAGGGGCAGAAGGAGGAGAGAGAATCCCAAGCAGACCCCATGCCCAGCATGGAGCCCGATGCGGGGCTCAATCTCAAGACCCTGAGATCACGACCTGAGCCAAAATCAAGAGTCGGATGCTTAACTGACTGAGCCATTCTTAACCACTTTCTCTGTTCACTCAGAGTACTCACTCACGAGTATCTACCAAGCGTCAAGTTCTGTGTTAGGCTGAATTCAGCGGGGATGCTGATTTGCCTTTGTACGGGATGTACTAAGAAACATGTTCTATGGAAGGAGAAGCCCCCAAGGCATTTAGGAAAGCAGAGGGAGAAAAGGGGGAACTCTACAAAACTGGATGGAATTCAGTTTCTGTAAGTTTAGAAGACAAAACCCAAGAAGTACATCAAGAGCTGGAAGCTGTGATAAAAACAAGAAAAATCTTAAGCTGGACATTTCTTCTTATGGTGTTGTTTCCACAATAAAGAGGAAAAAAATCATAAGCCATGTGTTACTCACAGCGGTTTCCAAGATCAGGTGGGACAAGAGAACTGAGTTACTGCGTTCTGGAAGACTGTCCTAGTGCGAAGCGAGATGGGAGAGGTGCCAAGGGAAAAAAAGGAGGCGCCCCCTTGGCCAAATCAAATGCAGGGCAGGGGAGGGAGGGAAGTCCTCCTCGCTCCAGCAGTCCCCGGGAAGATCAAGGCTGCTAACACCCATGGGGGAAAGCTGCCAGTTGCAGGGTGGACACCTGGAGGGGAACATTAATTTGTCACGTAGATTAAGCAGGCCTTAGGGACTAACCATCAGGTAGGTACCATCAAGCCGAAACAAAGTGAGTTTGGATTGGTTAAAAATGCCTATTCCAGTTCGTGCTGGCGTAAAGGTACTGGCTCTGCAGCCAGGGGGCAGCTGTGTTGTCCCAGAGTGGTGTGGCTTCTGTCTGGGCCACCTTGTGGTCCCCAGCTGGAGCAGAATCTCAGCAGCTGTTGACAAGAGAAACGGGATCGAATACTTCTCCTGGAGGCAGGAAGAGGGTGTGAAGCCCTGTGCAAGCTAAACCCAGGTGGGTAAGATCTGTGAAAAATTCCACTTCCATCTCCTGGCTGCATCACGCTGGGCATAAACCAACCATGCCAGGAGAGGCCAGCTGGTGCTCTTAGCTCTGAACTTAAGTTTAGGAACTTAAGATTCTAGGAAAAAAAGAAGCCTGTTTGTGGAACTACCGTGTGAATGCCAGGAGACAAGTGCCCGAGCAAGGAGCAAAAAGAAACAGCAAGGGCTCTAGTTTGGAGGTCCTGGCCACTAGCACACACAGCTTGGAAGCAGGGATGGGTGTCAGCCTTTGATGTCAGCATTATTTTCCAGAACACAGATTAAGTTGCCAGGAAATGGCCGTTTTCCTCTCTTGTTCCCCTCCACCCCAAAACATACTGATAGGCTGTTAAACGAGGTACACCTCTCTCCCCAACTCCCAATTTTCTTTCTGGTCCTCCTCATGCACCTCATCCCTCCCTCCAGCCATCCTGATTCCAGGAATTAACTGGTGTTAATGACCATTTGCAGCACTACAAAGTGCTATGCGTTCAAGGCCTAAGCACATTGGAGCTTTGCAGTTTTATGGTAGAGGCATCCAAACTTGCTCTGCACAGAGCCAGTGCAGAATCCCCATGAAGCTAATGATGCTTGAGCTATGGGGTCCCTTCACTATTGGAAGTGGCCCTGGGAATCAGGTCACATGGATATTTATAGCTCTCCCAAGAGGGGAGTGAATCAATGTTTAACTCATTCAGGTTCCTCAAAAACCTGGGTCCACCTGCTTTCTCTAGAATATTTAATGGGCCAAATGTTATTGTAAAATTAATGCAGGAGTGCTGCATTTTAAATAGAATGGAAAGTACATAGAAAATGGCAAAAATAAAGAGCACAACGTGATGACATTTTTATACACCTGTACAACCCTCCCAGAACCAGCAGGCAAGCTGACCTGGTGACAGGCGGGGGCCCCTCCAGTGGCTCCGGAATAGAAAAGACTGCATCCCACCTTTGCCCTAGGTAGGTTTTCAAATACCGTATGTTACTCGAGGCCTGGCCACACAACTGCATACGACAAGGCTGTCACTGAAAAGCAATTTACTCGAACTCTGGCTCCACAATTTACCAGGGCAGATGGCAAGGAGAGAGTATCAGGTCTGAACTTGGAAAAAATATTCCCAGGGTTACCACCTATTTACAATTATTTAAATCAATTTTTTTGAGAGCACACACCAGTGGGGGGTGGGGTGGGAGAATCTTAACCAGGCTCCACGCCCATGGGGCTCTATCCCACAACCCTGAGATCATGACCTGAGCTGAAATCAGAAGTGGGACACTCAACAGACTGAGCCACCCAGGCACCCCTAAATCTATTTTCAGAACAGCTGTTCCTTACACAAAAAGGAAGTGAAGAGAAACTCTCAAGTAAGAACCAGTATCTTTTGAGAGTTTCTCTTAAGTGGGCCTTAGAAGTAAACAAGTCAGGACCTGAAGTAATCCCAGGCATTTCCTGATCTGGAATGCAAAATAAACAGAAATGGACTCGACTTTTACAAACTGTTTATTTTCCGTCAACCTTTTCCATTTCTATTTCCATTTTGTTTGCCTTTGTGGAAGACCAGCTTAAGACCACTCAGTGGTTGTTCCTACCCATTCAGTGGCCTGAGCAGTGGGAGCTGCAGACCAGTCTTCAGTGGCCGGCTGGGCGCTCCAGTCTTCTGTTAAGGAAACACCAAAAAACATAGTCAGCCCCACTCCCACCAACACTGGGCCTTGAATTCCACCAACTACACATTTGGAAGGACAAACACCCAAGGCCACCCACACCACGTCAAAAACACCTGAATTCAACCTGTCGGGTCATTAGCACAGCTACAGCACACTGGGATGAGAACCTTTCAATGCTTATATACATAGCCATGGAGATCCTTTAAAAGTTAAACTAAGAATACCAAAAACCCGAAACACCAGCCTGACTTATCCCAACACATACCAGTAGGGAACTGCTGAATAGGCACCGAGGGCACCTGCACGCCTTCAGACCAGTCTGCAACTTCAGGCTGAGTAGCAGTGAACTCAGGAGCTGGAGCCGTCCATTCACCCTGAAATTCCTCCTTGGTCACAGCCTTTTCAGCAGCAGCCTGCTCTTCCTTTTCAATCTGGTTAAGGAAAAAAAAAAAGTTTATAGAGACAAATTTTATTTCAAAGAAGCAGACCAAGATGTCTGATTTGCTTATGTGACCACAGGCCTTTGTGGAGGAAGCTTACCTCTTCAGGATCTCTGTAGAAGTAGAGATCAGGCATGACCTCCCACGGGTGTTCTCGGGAAATGGTGCCACGCATGCGCAGAACTTCCCTGGCCAGCATCCACCACATCAGACCCACTGAGTGAGCTCCCTGCAAGAGTGCCAGGTTAAGAAGTGACTCTTGGGTCAACCCCCAACAGCATGCACCTCCCCATCCCACCTATCTGTCCCATCATCTAGACCCCTGGTATCAACAAGAGACATGTCTCTTAGTTTGTTAAGTGCTTATTTTTAAGGAGTACTCTGTGTATTAGTGGGTCTCAACCTTGATTGCCACTGGACCCATGGGAATTAAAGAAAAAAAAACTGTCAAGACTCCAAACTAGGCAATGAAACAAAATACCTGAACGAGTATCTGGACACTGGTATTAAAACATCTCTTTGGGTGATTCCTATGTGGAACCAAGATTTTGAGACCAGTAAACTGGACCAATGTGAACCATACGCAACCCACCTTTTTAGGACCTTATAGCAGGATTCATCAAGTTGCTCTGAAAATCGAAAAGGCCCAGTAACATGTGAGGCCCAAGCAGTTAAGAAATATGGAG